GACCCTTTTAATAAATTTGAATACCAAACTCATGGCAATAGCATTATGCATTAATTTACCCGCTTCTGTAAAGACATTGACACAAACTTAACGGATACATTTCCATAAAATGACAATTCAACACTGAACTAAATTCAAGTTCATTACACTTCCTCAATACCATAAATTATGAATTTATTGACTTCATGTTTTTTTTTTTTGTTATTGAAATTTACATATCAGGTGATTTTTTCAGAATTTTTTAATTTGAATATTTATATGTATTTAGAGTTTTCTGGGAGAATTTCTAATGTTGTAAAATAGGTTTGGTCTGCAGTAAAACTTTTCAAATTTTTAATTTAGAATTTCGAAATGTTTAATGTGAATGAAAAGTCTTGCGAGTATATTAGGAACTCAGAAGGACAAATTTGGCTTGGTCAATGCCGGTGGATGACTGTCAATTTGCTCTTGGACTGGCTTTAAATGAAGACTGCCAAATTGCTCTTAGACTGGAATTAACCCTACTGTCATTTTGAATTTCTTTTCCAATAGCTCCATCCACCGATTATGAATGGCCGGATCGTTTTTTATTTCATAGGGTGTGCTGCTCACTATGTCTCATATATGTCAGCCGTATTCAGACTATCGATACGCTCTACGGACATGTCGATGTTTGCTAGTAGAGCCTTTATGTCGGCACCGAGACATTGCGCGACTCGACTACTCTGGAATAAGACCCCATAGCCTCACGCCTTCGTTATGAAGCTTCTGCACTTAGAAGCCCCCTCGCCAAAATGTCTCGCCGTCACCACCTTCTCCTTGACGCTGCCTCCTTCCGACTCAGCATTTTGCATATCTTTCGAAAAAAAAATTCTCTTGGTTTTTCCACAAAGCTGACAGACCTTTAAGGCAAATTCTCAGCATCATTTTCCTCTACTATCGCTCATTGATCTGGCTCGAAGGACCAATGTTAACTAAGGATCTGTATAATGAAGTGGACACACATTTCTTTATCTCCTCGTAATCTCACTAAAAGAAAAAAAACAAGAAAAATCCCTTATCTTAAGTAGATTGTATACAAAAATAGGTCCCTGTTTAACTAAATGTTCTCTCTTTTACACAAGAGACCCACAGCAAGATATTCACTATTGTTATCAAACGAAAATCCTGTTCGCTACGTGAACACAGCCCTTAAACACTTCTGATCCGATATCGAACTTCAAGAGTTTTAATTGATTTAAAATTTAGCCCATAACACATTACTTCAGTTTCCTCATTCTTTTAGTTGTCTCCTGAATTGACGATCACAATTTCAACCTCCGCTTGAATATTTAGGACAATTTGTTCTCGATGGAAGTATTCGAACTCTAATAATTTTTCTGACATCAGGTTAGGATTAACCTGGGAAAGCTGTGAAATATTTAATATAGAGCTTTAACATTTTGAACATATATTGCCTCCAGTTCTAGAATGTTTGGCATTGTAACTGATCGGTCCACGATTACGTATAGCCTCCTATATAACGGTTTCTCCTCATTTTGGATAATTTATAGGTATTTGAACTTCTCTGCGAATTGGCTCTATATTTTCACATAGTCCCAAAAAATGTCCCTTTCGTTTTCGGCATTTTGATAGTTCTAATTTCCCATTTAGGGTTATTAATGGTTTTTTTGCAATTGTTCAATTTAGACCCTTGCTTTATCACAGCTTTTTAGCAGAGCTACCCGACCACATACCTAATTCCATTATATATGTGTATAGGACCCGAAATATTTTCGGTATGTTGAATATCTTACCTGATTTGTTTTTTTGTGTTTTATTATTTTGGAAGATAAAAAACCTCCTATCAGACAACCTCGATTGATTTTAGGTACATATTTAGACTGAGCACCTCGTGATGGTCCAGACGAACTTAACAACGTTTTTACTTGTTTCATTTCAATCACACATTCATCATTTGTGTGATTGTAAAAAAATAATGGAAATTTCCATACAAAATGAATTGTTTGGCTGCAAAAAATCAAAATAAAAATTATAATTTGCATTATACTATATTTTACTCAAGACTGATCTAATTAATAACAAAATCAGTCGATTCAGTTTTTTTCTTTCAAACTTTATTAAGTGTTGGTTGTTTAAGCACCATGCATTAACCTCATTATAACGATTTGAAATACTGACCTGCCTACACTGCCAAAATTCGTATCTGAATTTGAATAAATTTCAAAACAAAATAAAACTAATACAAAAACAACAAAAATATTGGCATTTCAATAACAAATAAATAACGAACGGTCAATGTACTGCCGACGAGATGCTGCTGTTGAATACGGAGTTGTTTATTGTTTATTGACGATAACAGCAACGATGGTATTATCCGATTTAGGTATTTCGAACTCTGCAAATAAGACACACATAATGTTCGAGTAAATAAATGATTTTTACTTTTCACTTTCAATTACGTTTGGTGGGCCATTTATTGTTCGCTCACATCACTGTTGATATTTTGATTGAAATTTGAGTATTAGTTCCGCAAATTAATTGCAATATCAATTGTCAAATAATGATGATGTCAAATAATCATAGAGGTGATATGAAAACAAAAGCTGAATCAATCAAATCAACATGTCATCATGATTAGATTAATATAGTCATCAATGTTTCATACGCTTATTAAGTGCAGGTCATTGAAATGTTGTTATTGTGGTTAAAGCTGTTGTTGGTAATTCGAAACAGTCAAAAATGTGAAGAAGGTTAATACTGACAGACGTCTTTCTAAAAACGATAATGAATATCAAAAATTGTACCATGAAGTCTATTGACGGTCTAAAAGGGTACACACTTGTTGTAAAAGAGAGTCACATTCGGGAACTAGAATTTAAATCTCAACTCCAACATGAACTTTAAATTGACACTCAAAGAGCGTGGTACTAAATTCGGGAAGTTGCCACATATTTGAAGAAGAAAAATTGACAGACACTGATCCAAAAATGTAAAGTTATACCTAAGTGTTTGGAAAATATGGCAGAGGCCTTCAATACACCGAAATGCCATTATCTCACTAGGAGGATTCCTGAATATCGGTCCTTATGTAGCTGGGAGTGCAAGGCTTATTAAGCATAATATTATAATTTCTAGAACTCAAAAGATACAGCTACGGAATCTTAAAGTAGACAGCCAGACTTGCCATTGAAGACTTGTCCCAAACTACCAGAAGGAGAGTCCCTTTTTCGTTTTCCTCTCTGTAGAATACTTCCCACTTCTCCACAAGCACTTTCTTCTTCTGCAGGTCAAAAACGTTGAGCATGCGTTTTGTAGAGAACTCACTGCCCCAACCTCTGACGAAGACTGTTTTGTAGTTGAGGAATGTCTCTTTTCCTTACCTTATTGTCTCGCTTATGGAGACTATGCCATCCAATAATTTTCTCAGGGCTTCGAAGCTCTTTGAGGAGTCAAATTCTAGCATTAGAAAATCCTTCTTGAATTCTCAGCAATCTAGATTGATTTGAGGGGACCACCTCTTACAACTTGGTGCTCCATGATCTATTGTTGACTGCATCCATCACCTCCTTCTGGGTCTGCTTCCTAAGTTTACCGGACGCACGTCAATCATTGCACAGTGGAGCCCGTCTCTATAGCGCCTTCTAGCAACCTTCTAAAAAGATGGCTACTCCTTGCCAATCGTTGCTACCTGTATCTATTTTTTTGTGTAAAGCCCTGTTAGTCCTTTCGAGCCTTTACGGAAGATTTCGATGTAGTCTTCTGGATATTACCCTGAAAAAAATATTTCGTATATTATATGAATAGTGTTAAGAAAGTGTTACCAATGTCGGGATTTCTGCATTTTATGAAAGCAATTCATAAAACTTTAAATACTGGTTTCTTGTCAGAGAGAGAGAGAGAGAGAGAAATAACTTTGGAGTGTGTGAGTTTGGTGGAGGTGGAAGGTTTCTTCTAAGGTACAGACATTCTTTGGCGTTTAAATTTTTCTATTTTGATTTTAGGTTTTCTTCTTCTTTGTTATGCTTTGTCTCGTTTCTTCGTATTTACTTACACGTTCATGTTGAACATTCAGTTGGGATTGTTTTCGTCTATATTGTATTTAGCATTTATATCGAAATAATTTGGAAAATGCGAATTTTTTAGTGCCAATACAGAGGTCGGTAAGAGTGTTTGAAGTAAAGAAACAATGGAATGCAAAACTAGTGGCAGTCGAGTGAGTTGAACGTCGGCAGTTGTTAGCAACAGATACATTAGTTAAATCATCGGTTGCAAAAATAACAACCACCAAGTAAGGGGAGAGGCGGAGAACAATACCAAAACAAAGCACATCTGAACAGTGAATGGTTGTTTTGCTGCTTTTTAGAAGAAATACATTTGTTTTTATCAAAAGAGAGGGAGAGGAAAATTTGTGCAAATAGTGATAAATTAGAGCGAAGTAGGAAAATAGGTGTGTGATTAATGATAAGTTTACATTATTTGGAAAAAAATAATGACTTTCTCAGGATTATAAGAATTTTTACTTGTATTCAAAGCGAGTTAATTATTTGGAAAATAAGTCAATGGATTCTAGTGTCTGTCTTTTTCAACTTTGGATTTGATCATCCTTCTCTTTATAGCTTTTTCTTTTTTATGGGTTAGGCATTTGTCTACTATTCGGACTGATAGTGGTCACACTCAGAATTTGAGTTTGATTATTCGCCTGTCTCGGAAAGTTGGATCGAGATTGTTTTTTTCCGGTGGTCCTTAAACTCAGATCCATTTTTGTCTGTTGTTTGCCTGCTTGTACCGATATCCTCGACAACAGATGCTATGCAGCATCTGTTGTCGAAGATCTCTGAATGACATCCCTGCCTTATCCTGAAGAACATATTTTAGGAATATCATATACATATTATTAAAAAGCTCTGTTTTCCTGTGTCCCCTTTCAGCATTCTAACTTCCTCCAATTCAATTTTTACTTTATCCTGATACTTCAATTTCATGTTAACAAATTATTTTTGGTTCTTTTCTATTTGCAGCATGTCTTTCAAACTGTTCCTGCTGGTGTTAACGGTAGCTTTGTTTGTGACAATGCCTGTCAAACCTGTAAATGGCTCGGCTGTTCTTATTTCCGATATGACAATGTCTGTTATGGTGGAATTATCATCGCGCTATCCATTTTGTAAAATGCACACCGATCGGTAAGTTCTCAAATACGAAACTTCACTAACACAAAGCGATCACCAAACTAATCACCAACTTTTCGCTACAGAGGTGACATACAACGTATGCTGCTGCAAGCTGATCCCAGGCGTATACGACAAGTGCCACGAGAATCGGTAATGGAATTGGAAGATGTATGCCGAAATTCTGGTTCGCATGGTCATGAATTCCGTGGTGGCTTGGGTTTTATTTATCCTGGAACAAAGTGGTGTGGACCAGGTATGATGGGATTTACTTTCTTAAGATGAATTAAAAAATAATCAAATATTTTTTTCCTTTTTTTAGGCACTGCTGCAACGAATTACAATGATTTGGGCGTCCATGTCGACGAAGATCGTTGCTGTCGTGAACACGACCACTGTCCGAATGTTTTAAATGTTGGCGAATGTAGACGTGGTCTTTGCAATACTGGTACATTTACTCGCTCCCATTGTGATTGTGATGCACGATTCCGACGCTGTCTTCAATCGCTTAATACAGGTATTTATTTTTGAAAATAATGAATCCTCATAACGGATTTCCATTATTAACAATATGTTTCATTACAGAAACTGCAAATACATTGGGCGCCATTTTCTATAACGTTGTCCAGGTCACCTGCTTCCAGGAACGCAGTCCATGTTCGGTTCATCAAAGGTTTGATGATTTCTATTACAGCTCAAATCAATGTGATATCGAATTTCGTTCTGCCGATTTGTATGTTCCGCCCAATGCGGGAAATCTAATACGAAAAATTCTCTCTCGTCCGTATGGCATAACGAATCCAATACCGCCATATGAACAAAATTCCTACTATGAAGGTGGTCGGTCACTGCAAACCTCCCCGGCCTTTAATCCGTTCTATAATGTGGGACAGAATGTGAAGAGCACTTCACGGCGTGTTGGTGTCAAACTGGCTTCGGTTGGTTTGGCTGCGCGAAATCTATTTCGTGAAATTGTCCGTAGTCCGAGAGTATTGTGGGATAGTTTAAATGCTCCCGTTAGCCGAAACTTACCACCTGGCGGGGGTCCAAATTATTACCGTTATAATCGGCCCAGAGGTCCTAGTAGATATCAAGAATATACACCATATCGAAATAATTGGTATTATTAATGGTGTGATATTCTGTTCGAAAGACTGAACTCCTAAACTATGGAGTTGCCAGATGTTTATAAACATATACGCCTTAGCACTGTAAATTAATAGCACTAACATTTATTATTTAATTTTTGTTTAGTTTATCAGTATTGCCATATTACGCACTAGTTTTAGATCATTAAAATTAATTATTTTAATTTTAAGTTGTACAGTACAGTATTGTAAGATTTTATGTTTCATTTTTAATAAATCATTTAAATAAAATATTACGGTTTTCCGCCACATCCGCTTGCAATATTATGTATTGTATTTTATATGAAATTTTAATTTTACAGAGCTGGCTACAATCAAACCGAACAGGATGAAATTTGTGCACAATGGCAATATCAACCCTCCGAAAAATATGTACCCAGTGCACCAGGTCGTACATAAGTCAACAAAATAAAACCTATCAATCCAATGGCAATTATTTATTGTACAACGAATAAAAAAAAACAATGAAGCTTCATATAAATATTTTAACACAAAAATCAACTATTATTAAACGAAGTACACCGATCTGCAATAACAATTTGATGACCTCCGAACAAGTGATATATCATGTTAGCAATATTTAGAAGTAAATGTCAGGATTCCTTTGGTCAGGTAAAACAAAATCGATCAAATCGAGATTATAATGAAGATAGGCAGTAACAAAATAAATAAGTAAAATAGAATAAAAATAAAACTCGTTTAAATGATCTCATCTATTGAAACTTGGTACAATTAATCAAAATAAGTTGCACATACACATACACACTCACACCACAACATAAAAGTAACAATTCGATGTGTATTAAAACATGAAATAAATACATTGTAACTAAACGGCATATACATTAGAACTTTTTACTGGGTTAACCTACTTTATGAGGATTTATTTGACATATATGCAAAGGAATTGACAATTGAAACCCACTGGGTTAACGAAATCCGGTTAAATGTAAACGTACTATAAATTTAAAATGTATTTTTATTAATAATATAATAGAGAGTCCCATATAGAGAAGAGTTTATATGGTCAAGGGTAAACCAATTCAAAAACCAGTGAGCGGAGCAGTATAGTTTGACGGGGCCGACCATACGATACCCTACACAACTACCACGAACTCTAACTTTCTGAGGATGTTTATTCCGAGTCTGAGTAATATTTCGTGATATTTGCCCCCTCTTACCCGATTAGAGGTCAACAACACCTCTTCCTTACTTTTTCGAATATTCAGTACAGTCCTTCTAATTACTTGTCCAGATTACCTTCACGGTGGATTGTGTTGTGATTTTCGGATTATACTCGACTCGAAAACACAAAAAATTAAGTTTTCGCTCCATTTCATCCCAAAATGTTAATCTGATCATCACTGAAAATTGTAGGCGTTGTTCTTGACCATAACTGGAACTTCATGAAAAATTTCAAAGCCATCAGCGCGATATTTCCCCCTCTAATGTGGTAATGGCTTACTAAATAATATCTGAATACGTAAGCACCTGTAAATATTTGACAGTAACTCCCACATCTGAGTAGATACATCACTATATTTGGTATCAATTTAAAGGCCAACCACTCCTCTTGAATATGCTATCAACTCCTCTGGTCTACATCCTCCAGGAGTAAATATATATGCCATTGAATACAAATTTTGTAATTTTTCACACAAAAGTCAGGGTCCATTTGACCCGCTAAATATTGACCGATCTTTATCACAACATGCATGCTTATTCTCTGGCCCGACCCTCTTTTCCATGCAAAAATTCGCGATGTTTGGGGCATAATTCCGGCCTCTGGAGCGACCAGAAAAACCGACAAAAATAATGTTTTGGATCCATTTCATCCCCTAAATATTAACCGATCTTTTCCAAAAACAATAGGGGTCTTCATTGGCCAGAACCCATCCTACATGCAAAATATCGTGAAGATTGGTCCATAACTGTGGCCTGTATCGTGTTTACAAATTATAATGGACAGACGGACGGACGGACACACATGTTTAGATCGACTCAGCTAGTCGAGATATGACGATCGGTATACTTAAAGGTGGGTCTAGGACCAATATTTCGCGGCGTTACAAACATTTGGGGCTGCACAAAGCTATAATACCCTGACAACATAGTTGTGTAGGGTATAATAAAATCTTTTTTGAAAAGGACTGTTCCTAGAGTCAAGACAAATGTAGAACCTTGATAAATTTTAATTTAATTCGCAGGTGCAACTTCGCATTAACTGCGATATAAATACAAGTTATCAACATACGACCTTTGGAAAGCCACATAGCACAATTGCCTGATGAACCAACGGCGAAACGCGTCGGATAATTGTGGATGCGTAGGTTCTTCCCATGGCTTTCCTTTTCATTGCAAAACTTCGATCATTAAGCTCGACTCTAAAGAGAAAAATTACAAATGAACACAATAACAAATATTTGTATCTCTCAGCTAATGGGGGTATATTCACTTTCATAGAATCAAAAAAGCCCCTATTTTAGAACACATGTGTCTCTGGGCCAAAAACGTTTCAGACAAGTTGGGCCCAATTTAGGAATATCTGAAGATTGCCGCCATTGTTCTAACCTCCGCTCATAAGGTTTATCAACAATTTTGTGTCTTTGCCGACTGAAACCTTGAAATGCATGACATTGTTACCATCTTCCTCACGATTGAGGTTTATCTGGCTGACCTAAATCAATTGCCCTCCTATAAAATGTATTCTTGGGTGTCGGTCATATTCTCATCGGTTCCCTCACTTTTGTTGCTGGCTGTTCTCCTTCGCAAAATTTTTAGGCTTCCTCCTCGCCTTTCCAATCTGAACTACACATCTTTGGAAATGTAGTTAGCCTACTCCTCAATCTTGACCAGACCTTCCATTGAAAACCTAACCAAAACTAACACGGGGAGAGTCCTTTCTCATTCTCCTTCCTATGGAAAACTTCCTACTTCTTTACCATCTGAGTTTTGTTTTGCGTTTTGTTGTGAACTAACTCCCTGCCCCAATACCCAAGAAAGACAATTGCATTTGGCAATTGATAAATGGGTCTTTTCCTCGCCAGCCTGTCTCGCTTATGGAGAAAAAACTTACTACTGTTTTGCTCTGTGAATTTGTAGGTATCCAGATCGATGAAGTCTCCTTATTGCAGCATGTGCTCCTTGATCTTCTTATTAAACGCATCCAACATATCCATATGGGTCTCCTTTTTTTAATTTCCCGAACACACTATTCACGACCTGGCAACCTTAGCACAATTTGCCGGCTCCTAGGTCAGTCTTCTTGGGATTCCCGGTCTTTACGGAAGATTCCGATTCAAGACCTCAAAGATAGAATTCGAGTGGCAAATAAAATTTGCCTATTTTATACAAGATATTATCACGCAGAGATATTATTCCATTTTTTCATAGACTTTAGCTTTCAAAAGTTAAATGAGAATATCCAGCTTCGTACGCTTGTACGTACAGCACGTATTCAGTGGTAAAAATATCCAAAATTTTAATATTGGTTATATTTCTATAATCTATAAACATTGCATTGATGGTTCCCGTAGAAGAGGAAGGCCACGAATCAGATGAAAAACAACATATTGGAACGTTATCTTTCAAATTGGAGGAGACGAGACAAGGACAAGACCGAGACGCTTGGAAATCTTTTTTAAGCTCGGCTTATGGAACAACCGTTCTGTAACAAGCCAGCTAAACAAGTAATAAACATTGTCCTTTACAATTTATCAAATGAGACTAATTACGCCATGATATTGGAATTTTCTTTAAATATCAAAATAACACTCCCTTTGGAAAGCCCTTTATTTTAGAATTCTTTGTTGACATTAACGATATAAATATGAAACGGTAAATATTGTCAACATTTACGATATATCAATTCGATTCAACAATCGTTTCGTAAATATTTAACAGTTTTACGTTATTAGTAAGGTGAATTTTTAATTCATCAAGGTGAGTACGACTAAGCCACTCATTTCATGGCCTTTGTGTCAAAGTAAAACTAGAAGCCTACAAAATGGGGACAGGAATTTCTAAAAATCGAATCTGAGTAACTTGATATATATTTTGTGTATGTAAAAGGTGAAGATTTTATGCGATCAAATATATAATGGGTCGATTATGGAGAGCAACCAAACTCCAGTTGCGATTTCTACAGGTAACGCCACTGAAATAAAACTTAAAAAAAAATTAATTTTGAATTTTGATTTAATTCGAGCCTACACTAATTCAAGAATGCCCTTATAAACATGTGCAAATCTCAACTATTTTTGAAGATATAGCCGATTTATTGTGTTAGCATCAAGTGATATGTGAGTGTATTGCAATTGTATGAACAAGGATAAAGCCAATCGGTGAAGATTTTCCTTATTTTTTAACTTAGTTTGTTATCAGAAATAGACGATTTTCCAAAAAAAAAAAAAAAAAAAATTGTTTTAAAGTTCCGCCATTTTGTTGATTGTTGAGCGAGAGCCAGACATGTACACTTTCTAACACCATTGAAATTTTCGGATTCCGATGTTCCAGTGAGGAGTTATCATGCCCGCCATCAAAAATAAGGACTTTTTAATCACCAAAAACAACAACAAAACAACGACAATAATCGACCCATAAAAAATCTATTTTCCTGGCAACATTTTTAGATCTATCAATTGAATGATGTTTGTACCCCCGGATTTTGAACTTTTGAGTAAACAGAACTTTAAACAAGTTTGGGGATATAAAAGAAACGATGATATGGAAAAACTATTTCGCCTTTTTATCAAAAGAGTACCTGAAAACACTCCGAACTATTTGCTTTATATTGAAACAGGTTGGAATACTCTGTATGTTACTTCAATAAAATTGCATTTCAGTTATGTTAATAAAATATTACGCCTTAACCCCCTAAGACTACCACGAATTTTAGTCGAAGAAATTTTACGCCGCGATATAAGTTGGGCCAAAGACTGGTCCAACCTTTGTTTATCACTAAACTACTCTCCTCTAGCGAACAATGTCCCTATGTGTCTCTTCTGGAAAGAAATACTGTCTACATTGGTCGCGAAAGAACGTCAAACTTTCTACACAGAAGCCTCATTTTCTCAACATCACGATCTATATGCCCATCTGCAATATGATCAAATATCAAGCCTAACAGATAAACTATCTGCGCGAGCGGCTTGCTTAGTCATAAAAGCTAGAGGTGGTCTACTGAAATTAAACGCTAGCTGTTTTAGAAATACTGATACCATTTGCTCAATGTGCAACTTGAACGTAGAGAAAACACTTTTCACTTTATTGGCATTTTTCCGATATACAATCAATACAGAATGGCATATTTTGGAAAAGTTTGTCTTACTTTAAGTCAGGTGTGTATGATATTAAATCGCGAATCGCTGTATAAGTATTTAGAAATTTGTATAAAATAAATATAAGTAA